AAACTTTCGTGATTTCAAAGGAGTACATCCAGGAACCCCCTAGGGGTAAGTTATGTCCTTTCTTGGTGAACTTTAAAAGAGCTTTAAAATGTAATATGATAAAATCTTACGTTCTTAAGTAGATCTATATTTGTACTATGTACTATGTAATCTGAATTTGTAGAAATCCTGGTTGTAAGGTAAAAAAAATAGGGTAGGCAAGAATAAGTTTTGCTTCGGCCTATTCCTTTTTTGGTAAACTGTGGGTTTGTCTATTGTTATTTTCTTTTTTCTTTTGTTGTTTCTTGTGTTTAATGTGGACAATTTACCAAATTTACCAAAATAAAGTGAAAGTGAAGTGAAGTGAAGTGAAGGGTCGCGCACCCCCTGTTGAAGACCTCTGCGATAGATAATATAACATAAATCTGTGTGTAAATCCTTAAGAGAGGAGCTCTTTTCCACGCTACCTGTCGAACGAGGTATCCACGGCGCCGCTCCTTCTTGGCGGAGGCGCTGGAGTAGATTTCGCCCTGCCGGCTGGACGGCAGGTTCCCGTAGTCGAAGGACTTGCTCCGCATCTCGGGCATTTCGGTGGGCAGCGTGCAGGGCGCCTGCTCCGAGGACGAGCGCCGCATCTCCCTCTGCTGGTGGTGGCCGGAGTAGCCGCTGCCGGGAACCGTCAGGAACTCCGAGGGCTTCGATCCCCCGCCGGACGGGTCCTCCTGGGGGCAGAGAGCAACGATTCCTGACTCCTGCTTTGCTCATTCATTATCAGCTTGCTCACACTTACACACACACAAGTACAGACTTCATGCATTCCTTGGACTCACTGCCTCGCTGTTTCCTTTCCCCTTCCTTCCAACTCCCCCCCATCCCTCCCTCCCTATGTCTCCTTGATGTTGTGATTTGACTGTAACTGTGCTTTAGTGTACTGAGGTGTTTTTTTTAATATCACTGTTACGTCCCCTGTAGGGGGCGTGGCACTGGGCTTTTTTTTTTTCCCTCTTCCCGCAACCGCTTTCCCAATGTATTCTTTTGTTCTGAAGAAAAATTGGTGCGCCCTCCTGTGTGGCTGCCCTCAGTCTTCCCGATCTGGTGTGTCTATGTGTTTTGTTTGTTTGGTCTTGGTACGGGCTGTACTGGAAGTCAATTTCTCCCTGGAGATCAATAAAGTATATTCAATTCAATTCAATTAAATTCAAATTCAAGTCCCTCATGCGAATCCGGCGATCTGGTCTACAATCAGCCCAAAAATCTGCCCAAAAAGTCTCACGTCACCCCTTTGTTCATTGAGCTTCACTGGCTACCCCCGGTTACCCCTCGTTATCCTTGGTTACCCCTGGTTACCACTGGTTACCACTGGTTACCCGCATCACATTCAAGTCCCTGATGCCTACAAAGTGCTTAAGGGTACGGCTCCCATCTACTTGAATCCAAGGGCCAATAAAGCCCCTTTTTATTGATTATTTCTTTATCATTTATCTATTTCTACATGTCTCTTATATAATGCATTAGTTTTATTGCTATGTGTAATTATCTGCAGTATTTATCAAGGAGTTATCGTAGGTTTTTGGAACCAATTCTAGGAATTACAGTGTATTCTGATGGAAGATTTGAACCAACATAGCAATATTTCAACATTCAAAGTCTTTCCCGGAACGAGTTAAACTCCTATGCAGAGGTTCTACTGTAATAGCAAGCCTGGGTACCTGTTTGGTCGGAGAAAAGGACTTGACGCCTTCTTCCCGGTCGAAGGACATGGACAGGGAGGAGGAGTGTGAGAGGTTGCTCTCCTGGCTGGGGCTCCGGGACAGGCTGGTGCAGGTTGAGTCGAAGCTGGACTCCCCGGAGGAATGCTCCATATCCGCGAGGCGCAGCCTCTTCTTCTTGGGCGGGAGCTTCTCGGTGGGCATCTGGGAGAGGGTGTCGCTCCTCTGGGGCAGCTGGAACTCCTCCACATGCTGTTGCTGCTGCTGCTTTTCCTTCTCTGAGTCTTTCGCGGCGGGGGGGGCCTCGGGGTCCTTCTCGGGCTTGTCGGGCTCCTCGGTAACCCTGATCTCGGGGACCTGGATGTTGGGCTGCCGGACCAGTTTGTGGAACGGCTGACCGGGGGAGGCAGTGGCCAAAGATGAAGATATTGGGGCCACATCCCCGTCGCTTTGGGGCTGCTGCTGCTCCATGCTTTCCGCGCGCAAAAGGGCCGACTCCGGACTCAGGGCGTCCTCGAATATGTCCGTGTCCGACTGCTCGGAGTACTGGCTGGACGGGGCCGATCTGTCCGACGGATGGTACCCCGGCTGCTCGAAGGACTCCGACTTGTCGAAGGAGTTCGGACGGCTGAGCGAGTTCGTGTGCTGGATGACCGATATGACGTTACCGGCTGCCTTGCGGCCCTCGGGGTCGGGATACAGAGCTATGTCCTCCGAACACATGCTGGCGCAGGTGTCAAAGCTGTCCGACTGGCTGTGGGCGCTGTGGAGGGAGCCCTTCCCGGTCGGAGTGGTTCTAGACCCGTCGAAACTACCTTGCTTGAATTCGTAATCCCCCATGATCTCCACCGAGCCGCTGCAGCTGCTGTCGCAATGGCCGGGGCTGTCCTCGTCGTCCCCCACGCTCTTCTCTTTCCTCCTCTTCCTCGTGGCTATTTCCGACAAGCTGGGTTTGGTACCGTACGGGATTTGCGCGACGTGCTCGTGGATTTTCACCGCCAGGGACGAGGCCAGGTTCTTGTTGGCCGCGTGCCCGTAGCCCTCGGCCTCCCCGGCGTGGGCCTCGTTCACCTGCTCGAAGGCGCTCTGCCTCTTGAGCCGCGGGTGTCCCGGCGGGTAGAAGACCTCGTCCGGCGCCGCCATGTTGTCGAAGGACACGCTTCCCCGAATCCCCGAGGGAGCGCTGAGGTTCGGGGGGGACGGGGTCGGCATGGAGTTGCTCCGGATGAGGAGCCCGGAGTCCGAGGGCGGCTCCAGGAGTCCCGTGCTGCTCTGGCAAGGGGCGGTTGGGTATTGCTTGGCGTCTCCGCATATTCCCAGGTTCCCCCGGAAGGAGATGTGGTCCTCCGCTATTTTCCCCATGTCAGGGATAGCTCCGGGCTGCTTCAAGTCGGCCCCGGCAACGCCCACGGTGACGGACTGCCTGGACCGGGAGCTGGGCCGGTTGTACCAAGTCCGGCCGAACATGATCTCCTCGTAGGTCTTGATGTTGGTGTTGGGCGCGCTCATCTGCAGCTCGGCGCTGTCGAACGGGGAGAAGTA